AACAGGAGCCTGGTCCCATTAGCAGTCCGATAGGAGTGTGGCCGATCCAGTGTGACACGGAGTGGCAGCGGGCTGACAGGTTCATTACGAATTTCTGGGGTGAGAAAACAGGAGAGAGGTGGTGGTGGTGGTCCCAACAACACTGAACAAAGTAACTGCCACATTTTTTAGCAATAAAATCGACTTCTGTCAGCAGTGATCCTGACACCCTCGATATATATTCTCCGTGATTGAAGGAGGGCACCACCCAGCTAAATTAAATGAGATAATTGCACAACAGCAAGCAAGTAAAATACAGAAAATATTCTATCCAGTGGGGCCTATGGCCGACCCCACCCTCTTCAAGTTCCAGGGTTGGCCATTCCCCCAACCGGGGGTTGAAAAGATTCTGGCGGGAAGGAAAAGCTTTCATTGCACGGGCATGCCCAGTGAGTGTTAAGGAGAGGAGGGAGGAAGGGGGGAACAAAGATCTCCTTACCTTACTTTTGGGGTAATAAAATAAATGTAAAAATACTGCGCGTGGGATCACGAGTACTGCACGGCAGGATTTGGGTCACTAATATGCCACACAAAATCGTTTCTATCCTATCCCGCTTCTAGCGGGACCACGCTCCAGAGAAACCTACAATTATTAAAAAAAAAAAAAAAAAACCTGAAATTTTCTAAATAAAGAAACTAGCAATAAATAGTCGACCAAAATGATCCTGAAGTCTTGCAATGTGTATGTAATATGTATATATAAGTTAAAAAAAAAAAAAAAAAAAAAAGTATATATAAGCCACACCTAAGTTGACAGGGAGGGGTGGGAAGAGAAGCAGGGAGGAGAACTCTTTTCGATATGTTCATCAGAGAAAGGTTTTTTTTCGTCAGTGTGCCGCTACGCGGCTACTTAGGGAGGGGAGTGTTTTTTTTTTTTTTGCATTTTTTTTTGCATTTTTTTTTTTTCAGGGCGACGGCCTAGGGACATCTTCATTGATGGGACCGGGCCTAGATGATTCAGAATTTCGTTTTTTTTAATATTTCATTCCTCAAGGTGCAGCAGGATTTGAACTCAGGCCAAAAAAAAAAAAAAAAAAAAAAGGATTGGAACTCAGGTCTGTATTTCGACAGGTCATCGGTTTACCAACGCGGAGCTAACATAGGCTCGTTGGTGGTTTCTGTTTCCTTTTTTTTTTAATTGGGGTTTGAGGGAAATTTAATCCCATTAAAAAAAACAAAAAAACTTTTCTTTTTAAATGAGACAAAATTTCAAAGGACGGGGTTTTGGTTTATTTTCGTTTCTTCCCTCGTACGTGTTTATCTTCAAAAAAACGAAAAAAAAAAATTATTATGATGCGAACTCATGATCGGGTTTTATACAACAACCCCTCCTCCTTGTGTATCTACGATTTCGTCAAAAGACTGGGTAAGGCTTTTTCTAGAATAATTGTCCATTTTTTTATTTCTTTTTTTTTCCCTTTTTTTCTTCTTTTTCCCTCTTTTTTTTTTTCAATGGGGGCTACCTCCTGTCACTGCTAGTACTAGGGGAATAACAATCAAAATACAAAAACTGGAGTGATAGGAGGTGGCCCCCTTTTACGTACTAGGGCAATGAAAGCCACCCCCCTTTTTACTTACTAGGGCAATGAAAGCCCCCCCCTCTTACG